CCCCAAAACCCCAAAACCCCATAGTTCTGAATTCAATTGAGAGTGATTAGAAAAGTTTGAATCAATTCGTTGCTTTTTTTTATTAATTAATAGATATATTGTTGAAGAGAACCACATTAATTGTTGAAATATTATTAATATTTAAAAAAGATGAAGTAAATCTTGAAAAATTTTTGCTTATAACTGAAAAAATTTTCCTTTCTTCTAATAATTATCTATCTTGATATATAAAAATTGTAAGTAAATGAAACTTATATTCCATAAAGTTGAAATTATTCTTCCTATGATCATTAATTAATATAGTGCTCAAACTTTACCTCAGTGTTTTGGATTGAAATAGTTACCCATAGAGCTGAATGATTAAGCTAATCAGCAAATTCGATCTAAATTTACAGCTATTTAATACGATGAAAGTTAAGACTACCTTGCTGTTGGAGGAATTTATGATTCTAATATAATTATAGGATTTTATAATAACAAGGAAAATATGAATTGATTTATCTGGCTTAATTCGTATAACTATGATACCCATTAAATAAAGGGTAATAAGTTAGAATGGGTAGACTCTATTGCATTTTAATAAAAGTCACATATAATATCACTTGTAAGATCAACAGAGAAGAATAAAACTTAACATTTATCTCTCAGAGACTATCTGCTTTTAAGATAAAATGTGTAAGGTGTAATTAAGCAAAGCGTGAGATTCATTGATAGTGCTATGATCCCCAAACCTATGTCCAATATCTTGACTATTTGAAATTCAGATGGAAATATATATATATCAAGAGTTACTTTTGAAGAAATAGGGATTATTTTGTAAATTAAAGAAGATTTATCAAGCATAATCAGGCAATTCCAACTTGCTACAAAAGGAATGATTCCCCTCACTATCGAAATAATTTAAAGTACCGGATTAATTTGGACTATGGGAATCAAATACTCGTCAATAAATGATATTGGTTTTTTTCTAGCTGAGATTGATTATTAAACTGGATTCTCGATAGCAGTTTAAGTTGCAGATAGTTTAGCAAACTTTAACCCTATTATTCGTTAAATAGTTCTAAATTCTACCTGCTTTGTTGGATGCTTAGAAAGCTAAAATAAGGATACTGCTTTTATGGGGATTTTCGCTCATTAATTAAAATCTAGTAATTTCAACATAATAACTAGAAATGCATCTTAAACATACTTTCAAAGGAATTTTGAATGTCTTGATATATAATTTTCGGGAGATAAAAACGTTACCTTAGTCTATTAAGGTTAAGAAAGTGGATTTTTTACTATTTTTATTGTAAAAATAAAGCTAGATCCTCTTCATTCTCAGAGTAATTTTTAAGTGTCTGAATAGTGGTTACGGAAAACTAAAAAGGATTCTTTTACAATTGCCAAATTTAAGTATGTATCTACGAAAAATTACTATTTTTATCTTGGCAATTTAATTGAATAAAACTGATACTAAAGAGCATTCTTATCTTAGTTATCATCTGCAAATACTTATTACAAAATTTTAAATGACTATGACTAAAAGAACGATGGTGTTTTCAGTTTTTCCCCATTGTTAAATCCAAATATATATAATGAAATGGCAAATTAGCTGACTAATAACTCTGTTTTAGAAAAACCACTTATTCAAGAATTTCAAAATCTTTTACCTTATGTTAAACTATGGAAAAACTAGACAAATAAAACAAACTCTCAAATCAATCCCTCACAACTTCAATATTAATAAAATAGGATACCAATTAATCTACCAGAGTATATTGATTGCTATTTAGGTTTTTGGTGCGAAATTTATTTTTCAAAATTTAGCTTAGAAAATGAATGCAGTGATGATAAAACAGTAAATAAGAGATATATCTTGGAAATCACTTCTAACGGTGCTATTATTTTACCCTAAATTGCCTCTGAATACAGCACATTTGTTGCAAATTACTCACAAAGATTTAAGCTTTTAAGCTATATCGGAAAATATACTATCAATGTCACCTATCAGATTTCAGATACAGTTAATCTAGCAAATAGGTGGATACTTGTCCAAGATTTCTTCATTCTTAATATAACTAATACTTGCGAAAAAGAATACAAACTGCTACAAGATATTAATAATGTTTCAATTCGATAGCAAGTCAATGGTGATGTAATATACTATACGATACCCAGATTATTATTGAGGCCACATCAGGATTGTTTCAAGCAAACTCCAAGTAGAATAGTTAATGATGATTAATAAGATTTATCCTCGATTGTTATCTGGGACAGATTTTCTGACTTTTAAGTTGGTATTTTAGCAGATACTCCAGATAAAATTGGTGAATATGAATTTTTGTTCGAAATTAAAGTTAATGCTGAGATCGAAGGATTTTAATTTAGATTATATAAACCTTACTCATTCAAATTTGAAGTCTACAAATATATTTAGGTTGACTAATTTATAATTAACAACAGCGCACCATACTTCTCATCATATGTGCAAGACATTGAAGCTAAAGTAGGGGTAGAGCAGGTAGTAGACCTTCCTGATATAACAGATGCAGAAGGAGATGAATATTCAATATTGATATAGGGAATTAAAGCAAACTTATTTATAACTGAATCTAATAAGAAGCTCATCATACAGCCAACCTAGACAGTGGTTGGGTAACATTAAGTTATCATAATATTAAAAGATAATAATAAATAGAGCTTGAAAAATTAATACTACTTCTAAGTTACAATTAAGCCTGATGTTTCTAACTATTATGAATCTTTGCTAAATGATGGAGCATTTGTAGAAGAATATAAAAGGTCTCAGGCATTTAAAATAATCGGAGTAATAGAAGCTAGGATAAGTAAGATTACTAATACAGGATAAATCACAATTCTATTCGATTAAAGTCTAAGTGATAAAGTTAAAGATCTAAAACCTAAGATTAAGCAAACTATTAAAATAAGCCTCATTTAGAGTGATAGGGAGATTAACTTAGATTTTGAGGTACAAGAAATGAATTAGAGAAAAATGATAATTTAATTGAACTTAACATAGCCAGGGAGCATATCAAAGGACTCAGTAAATATAACATTAAGAAATAACTTTTTAGGAATGGGATAGATTGATTGTAAATTTTAAAATGAATTTCTTGTTCTATGATCAGACAGAAAAGCTCATGATGTAAAAGGGATATCAGATTAAGAGATATATACCTCCATAGATGAGCAAAAGTTTAAAAGATTTTATGAACAGCCTCGGATCATCTACTTCAATATCGTTAACTAGTATAATGGGATCAAATTTGTTCATCAATATTCTGATGTAAGACGACACTGCTGAATTATTATAGGTCTCAGAGTATCTCGATGTTATGGGGAATGATTAATAGTTTCCAATTAATTACACATCTACCTTTAATGTAGGTAAGCACCCCAGCAAACGTGGCGTTTTTTTACAGTTTTATTCTTGATGTGTCTAGTTTCTAATTCTTTGATGTTGAGATTATAAATTCATTCATATTTGATTATGACCCAGATACTTTAGATGATTCCACATATAATCCTAATTATGAAAGAATGGGATACACCTCAACTAATGTGATTAGAAATCTAGGACCTATATTTTATTTCTACTGCTTGTTGATGTATTATAAATTTGATGTATTCATTATATAGGATCATTATGGTTTTAGTATAATTCTTCAATTTCGTGAGAATAGCGTCTAGAAAGTAAGATATTAGTATGTTTTAAACTTTTTTAATAGATTAAATTCGACACTATTCTAGGAAAAATAGCTTAATCAATTAAATTTCAATTAGATTTCAAGATTTATGCTAGAATCTGTAATAGAGCTAATCATATGTTCTACAATTAATAATTAAGACGTAATCTAATTGATATTTAAAATACTTTTTATTAGAGGTTCTCAACTTTTATTGATAAGTCTGCATTTATATTGTCAATGATATTTCTTTGTATAAGCTTTCTTTTTCCTATCATTTGTGGACTATTGACTAATGTGGTTTATAAAAGAAATAAAGGACCTTTAAAATCAAATTTCAGGCCAATCATTGAAAATATAAGAGAAGATAGCTACATCTTTACCTCAATTTACCTAGGTCGGAGAATAATTTACTCTTTAACTCTTGTTTCATTCGATGGAAAATAAGGTCTCTAACTAATATTTTTGATAATTTAAAACATGATTATGATTATTTACATAACTTTAAGTTAGCCATATCAAAACAAGCTAGCTAATAATCTAGAAATCTTTAATGAAATTATTTTCCAGGTTATTTTGTACAGCATGATTGTCTTTTCAGATCACTATGTTCTTGATTTTGAACTTAAAATTTGGATTGGATATTTTCCTATAGCTCTTTCAATTATTTTTGTGATGATCAACATATATTTGTTGTGCATTTCCAAAATTGTAAGAAAAATAATAAATTGTATGAGGTGTAAAACTAAGAAGGACCTAACTTAGCAAAAAGTCTAAACCTTTGTTTAAATAAATTAGCTTTAATCTTTGAGATCTAGTGTTATTTAAAATGAACCAAAGAAAAAACTTAAAATGAAATCAAAAAAAGCTAAAAATACTTCTACCCCTAGATTTTAGCCATAGTTGTCAGGTTCTTATTATTCATCTACAACTGATTTTTGCCATAAAGATAAACTATCTGGTAAAGTAAAAAAGGAAAAAATTAGCAAGAAAAGTAATATAAAAAAATCATAAAGAAAATAAAATAGATGATATTTGATAATTTATAGATATTAAGTCATTAATATTTAACTATTAGATAAACTAACTAAACTAAGAATATTTTTAATTTTATAACTTTTCTTTTTATTCATTTTCAAATTTATGCATCTATATGGGGTTTTGGGGTTTTGGGGTTTTGGGG